AAGGACTAAAATACAAGTAGTCTTGAAAGAATCTACAGAAACATGTTTCTACCCTTTAAGGTAAGGACTAAAATACAAGTAGTCTTGAAAGAATCTACAGAAACATGTTTCTACCCTTTAAGGTAAGGACTAAAACACAAATAGTCTTGAAGGAATCTACAGAAACATGTTTCTACCCTTTAAGGTAAGGACTAAAACACAAATAGTATTGAAGGAATCTACAGAAACATGTTACTACCCTTTAAAGTAAGGACTAAAACACAAAAAGTCTTGAAGCAATCTACAGAAACATGTTTCTACATTTTAAAGTAAGGACTAAAACACAAAAAATCTTGAAGCAATCTACAGAAACATGTTTCTACATTTTAAAGTAAGGACTAAAACACAAATAATTTTGAAGGATCTACAGAAACATGTTTCTACCCAATAAGGACCAGGATACAAATAGTCTGCGAATCGACCAAAAAACTTGGTTTATGTGATTCTATTCAATTTGTAACCTCCTTTTCACCAGTGATACATTTTGCGTAAGTAATATTATTTATGTTTATCATTAGGCTAGTGTTAATATATCATTTGTTTTCATAATCTCACATTATTGGACATGATACGTAGATACTGATAATCTATCATATGTTTTCATAATCTCACATTATTGTACATGATACTTGGTTAGTGTTAATCTATCATTTGTTTTCATAATCTCACATTATTGTACGTGATACGTGGGTAATGTTAATGTATAATTTGTTTTCATAATCTCACATTATTGTACATCACACGTAAGTAGTTTTTAATCTATCATTTGTTTTAATAATCTAACATTATTGTACATGATACGTGGTTAGTGTTAATCTATCATTTGGTTTCATAATCTACAATTATTGTACATGATACGTGAGTAGTGTTAATCTCTCATTTGTTTTCATAATCTCACATTATTGTACATGATACGTGATTAGCGTTAATCTAACATTTGTTTTAATATTCCAACAATATTGTACATGATACGTGGTTAGTGTTAATCTATCATTTGTTTTTATAATCTTACATTATTGTACATGGCGTTAATCTATCATTTCCTTTCATTATCTGAAATTATAGTACATGATAGTGGCTAGTGTTAATCTATCATTTGTTTTCATAATCTTACATTATTGTACATCATACGCAGGTAGTGTTAATCTATCATTTGTTTTAGGCCCGGCATGGCCAGGTGGTTAGGACGCTCGACTCGCAATCTGCGGGTCGTGGGTTCGCATCCCCATCCCACCAAACATGCTCGCCTTTTCAGCCGTGGGGGCGTTATAATGTG